TCCTGAATGAAGATCAAATTGCCATCTCAAAGTAACAGAATGTCCTCGACCATATAAATAACATGGTTGTTCGTTTATCGAACGGAAATCAGATTTAGAGATGCAGGAATAGCAATGGTATCGTTTAATGTCTTTCTATAGCACATAACTTCAAATTTTCATATCTTCAGACAGGCCCTAATCATAGCTCTTCCTTTTCGTAGATAAGCATGACGCTCTAGGGGTTACACTAGCGACCCAGGTATGAAAGATCAACCTCGATTTTCCATTTCTAGCTAATTGCGGAGGCCATTAGATGGTCTCTACTCGTCTTGCCAGGTAATAATTCGATGCCATTCAGAACCCACACCAGCGGCTGTACGTTTGGCGGTGAGAGAATGTGGATAGCGGGATATCAAGATAAGCTAAACTATACCATCATCTTATCGGATATATGAGTCTTTTTCGCGCAACCATCTGGAGTGGAGCTTGCTAAAAGAAGCAGTATATGCTCTGATATGTATAATGACTTGATCCTCTTGCTATGTGAGCAAAGGCAAAGGCCTTTTCTATACACATATTCCCGCCTGTGACACCACGTCCTATACCCAATATTCTAATAGCGAAGCCCTTTAACCGCTTATTGTAACAAAGCCCAGCCTAAAGGAAGCAGCCACATTACATTCTTATCTTTCATGGTAAGGAGCGAATACGCTAAAATTACCATACGAGACTACATACATGTAGACTATCCGTTTGAAGAGACCTCTCCATAGTTAGTAGAGTGAGTAAAGTGGTTATGTTATAGCTAGAACATACATAGTAACCCAATTGATACTCTTGCGATACTAACTCCAAGGCCCTCAATCTTACTGAGCTTGTTCGTAGCTTCAATAACGTGGATCCGGCCACCGGGCTCGACGAGGTTGCCGAGAGCTTAAAGGACTTCCTTCTGTCCGAGGCCGGCGCCAACGAGCACAAGCCGTTAGTGGACTAAGTCGAATTTGCCTTGCCACTCTTCCCGCCATGGCTGATTGATATCCTGGGCTTGATAGACTGTGTTTGGTGATGGGCCTGGGAACTCGGTAGGATTGGTAACGCGAGGGATTTGAACTCCTTAAGTTATTATCAGAGGTTTTATGTAGTTTCCATCATTGGTATAGTTCGCTAAAATGATGTTCCCAGATCCCTTTAATCACCTCAGATATCACTTAGGTATCACCTGGTCTACATGATATGTTAGCCAACCCTCTCTCTTACAATTTCAGTTCCTATCTTGAACTTAGTAGTTAATCTTACCACTGACATCAACCTAGCATGTTAAAGGGAATCGATTCAACTCATTTCATAGGTTGCTTTGTGCATCTCCCGCGATACATAGGTTCTGGTAGGTTGCGTTCCTATTAAGCCAAGTCTGACTTCGAGTTTTAAAATGAATCTGGTAACTGGGAGCTCCCCGTGGGAACTGGACCAGTTGGGAATGCATTCGTTGAAGTAATGAATGCCGTATTCCGAACGGTGGGTGCTAACCTTGACCTTGCCGGTCGTCTACTGGAGTGGCTGGAAGAGACTGAAAATCCAAAGCCGCTATGTTGACCTGAAGTTAAGAGCTCAGAATCCTAACCAGACTCTTGTAGAATTTTTATCAGAGCCTACTAACTTCTGCTTGGAATTAGTGCATACGGTATCCGGCTCGGTACCCCGTTGGGACCAACCATATCAACCTGCCGTACGGCACGCTGGCACTTGGGCTATATCCATGATACATCAACATGTTGTCATTATACATGCGATGCCAGGTACAGTAACACCGGAGTCTTCATCATATTATACATTCACTACACTCTTAGCAGCTTCAGCTCCGGCAATCCTGCCAAACACAGCACACTCAAGCAGCGATGAGCCACCCAACCTATTCGCGCCATGGATCCCACCAGTAATTTCACCCGCAGCCCAGAGACCAGGTATAGGCGTCAACCCGCCGTCGTCTTTCGACCGCAGAACCCGCGTCTGCGTATCGAACGCCACGCCTCCCATCGTGAAGTGAACCACAGGCGTCACGGTCCCGACGCACACCTCTTCGTCCCGGTTCGCCTCGCCGGGCGGTAGTCTCCAATGCCCGAAGGCTTTCCTTCCCAGCGTATCCTCGTCGTGATTTGCCACCATAGTTGCGTACTTATCCACCGTCGCGATAACCTCTGGGGCGAGGTCCTTGACTTTCTTCTTCTGCACGAGCCCCTTCCACAGGTAAAAGTCCATATGCGACTTCGTCGCATCGCAGGTGCCGGGGTCGAGCAGCAGCATGATATCCCACTCCTTCGTCTTCCCTTGCTCCGCGTGCGGAAGCGCCATAATTGCCGCGCTGACAACATCGCGAGTCTCCAATTCGTTGATGAACCGCTCGCCATTGCTATTAAGTAAAATCCCGCCCTCGCCGCGCAACGCCTCTGCGGCGAGAAATTTGTAGGGTGCGTCCGGAGCCATGGGGTCCACGAACCCCGTCGGATGAATCTGCACGCTATCCATATCCACGAACGCGGCGCCGAGCGCGGACAGCAGGCCGTGGGACGCGGGGCGTTCTTCGTTGGTGGACGGCATGCCGGCTAGCTCGGGCCGGTACTTTGAGAGCAGGCCGTGCGCGTCGCCGGCAAACCCGCCCGCGGCGAAGACGACCGGGCCTTCGAGCTTGTGCGTCTGCCCGTCTGACGCACGGTATCGCACCCCGGTAACCGCACCGCCGTCTTCGGCGAGGAGTTCGTCGACCTCGGCCGAATTCTCTAGTATGAAGTCTGTGTGGGCCTTTAGATCTTCTAATAGCGCCGAGACAATTGCTGCTCCGGGGGGTAATTTCCCACCGCCACGGTGCGTTCGCGCGACCGAGTGCCCGCCGAGCTGTGCGACAACGCTTAGATCTACTTTCAACTCATCGGCAAGCCAGTTTACGGCACTTTCGGATTGGCTGGTTAGCATCTCGACTAGTGTCTCGCGATTTATGCCCGGAGGGCTTTTCCCGGTAAACCTGGTCCCGGCCGAGCGCACTGTGTCCGCGTAGAAGCTATCATCTTTAGTGATACCGAGATCCCGCTGAAACCGCGTTCCTGCGCCGTTGATGCCCGAGGAGGCTTTGATGCTGTTTCCGCCAGGTTTCGGCGCCCGGTCGAGCATGCGCACGGGTGCGCCGGCTTTCAGTGCTTCATGCGCCGCAGACAGGCCAGCAAGACCGGACCCCACAACAATGACCGGCCTCCTTGCCGTCGCCTCCTGCGTCATTGTTGAGAATAGTGATTTAGATATGCGGTTCAGCGTGATACCGGAACTCGGTCGGAAGAAAAGCATGCACAAGGCCGCCGTGAGGAAGCCGACGGTAAAGTAGATGAGAAGCAAACAGCACCGGCTTCGTCGAATTCGCATAGGCATAATTCGTTCAATCGATGAAGAAAATTGTACTTTTAAACGACGGGTCATTTTATACGTAACCTACTATGTAAATAGGTAGGACAGCAAGGTTGGCGCTATTGTAAGTGTCGGACGTCGTCGTATGACGGCTGACGCCATCGTACGATCATGAGGTGCCACTTTTTGCCGACCGTCGTATGTCCCCGGAAGACGGACTCGAAAAAAAGCGCACCACGGCATTTCGGTCGCCGGGTAGAATGGTGCTTTTGAGTATCATTGAATCGCGACGAGTCGCCCGATTGCCGTCTCCCTTCCGGTCCGGGTCTACACATGCAGATACCGCCGGCTGCGACTCTAGCATCCCTTCCAATCCGAAGCAAAATAGTTGACTCGAACTGGAGTGAACGCCAGGTAAGATCTCGCGTTCTCGTAATGTAAAATCTTATTTAGATGATATAGATGGATTGACATATTCATATTTCGGATATCTGCCTCTGTTGCGGTGGCCAGTCGTTAAAGCTTTAATTGATGCCGATGAGACCCTGAAAAGCGTTGTTAAGGATCGATGCTTGGAGCTACTTATTAGTAGCCAGTGATAGGTGGAATAATACAAGTATTCCTCACTATGAGCTTATATAACTCGAAGTTCAATTTAGCCAGGGGCAAGGTCTCTTTCTTCATTATACAAGCCGATCCTATTTCCCCCTGTTCTCTCACAATGCGATGATGTTATTCCATGTTTTCTTGGAGTCGTCCTTCGCACTAAATGGGATAAGATGGCATCATATAACCAAAGACCCGCCGTCCCGGGGTCCTCGCCTCAAGTGTTGATATGTTAATATTAGCTTCACTTTCAACCTGTCCCGCGATTCGCAAGACTTCCCCAAGCTCAACACCGGATTCGCCTGGGGCACAGAAGAGTTCCGCTGGGATGTAAGTTCCGCCCTTTAACGAAAGAAAATTTCTCACCCCTCGCATGCAGACGTCTACTGAACTAACTCTTATCAATCGTAGATCTTCGAAGGCGACTACACCGAATCGGACTGGACATACCCGCCAGTAGTCGGCGAGAACAAGTTCGTCGGGTCGGCAACGAGCTGGAACGGCACGGGGAAGTCGCAGTGGTTCACGCCCGGCCAGGACAGCGAGGACGACATCTTCTCGTTCCCGCTGTACGACCAACCCCGTGATAAATGGGGTCTTTACTATTGGATTGGTCGGTTCGCCAACGGATCGAGTATCCAGCCTGGGTCTTATAGGTAAGTCTTCACAGCGGATTTTCGCACTCCTGTGTTGGCGAGAAGTGATGGTGACGAATTCGATGCTGACGGATGCAAACTGATAGGTTCCGCATTGCGACCCTGAGGCCCTTTGGCGACCCCCGGGTTTCGTATGACTGGGATATCTGGGAAACACCTAAGGTCACGGTGTTGCCGCTAGGGGAATCCTGAAATACCTTGATATGATAATTAGGAAATCATCGATATTGGTGGGCATGTCTGTGATGGGGAATTGATGCCTTCGCGTCAAGCTGTAAAACGATGACTCGGTGTAGGCTTCACCCGACTGAAGTCCCTTAAAGAAGAACATAACAAAAATGAAAATGAAGTCGAAAAAATAAGGGCCTCTCGATCGGGGAATTGAACCCCGGCCACCTGCGCACTCAGAGATGACAAGCAGGTATCCTAACCACTAGACGAATCGAGATTGTTATCAGTTGCTTTGAGAATGTTTCTCGTGTGGTGGAGCTGATGGAAACTAGCAGCGCTTAAATCCGCATATAAACCTGAGTAAGCCTAGCCGGTGTGACCGGTACAGCCCTACCCTAAAGCTTCCCGCCACAAGTCCGTAAACCACCAGCCACGATGGCGCGTGCCGATTTTACTTGGTTCGCGGCGGTCGAAAGTTACCACTTGGCCAAAACCCCATTTCGAAAAGAAGCGCTAGCCGAAATAAGAAGTAAAATGCTTTTATACATATGGCATGCCCATAAGAGAGTATATACATATATGCAAAAACATCACTACCACCATCACCGCCATCACCACCACCACTTTGTTTCATTATAGCTTTAGAACTAGAGTAGCCTTCAATTGACAATCGACAATTTTTGAAATCGCACAATACAGAGATTCTAACTATACAAGTTTTATATGATGCATCGCTGTTTTGGGCGAGATATCATTGAATATAGCTAACGTTGTTGTTGAACCACGATTTCATACTTTTGTCGTTTTTTGAGAATCGGCAATTTGGAGGAAGCGTAAGAGATACTTATCAATCCGTGAAATTTGGCCGGGCTAATAGGTACCAGTAATGTTAGCCCTAAATTATCTGCTTTGAAAGTTGTATAATAACCATTAAATGCATATTTTCCTGCAGATATATTCATATTCCTTTCAAATTTCTCTTAAACGTCTCTTTCCATTACCTATTTCAGTTTAGCGCATTACCATTTTTGGGTTTTGGCCAAGTGGTAACTTCCGCGCTTCACATGGTTCATTGATTGTTCCGTGAAAACAGCTTAGTTGAACTTTCGTCGTTATACTCGTTACATTTCCCACCGTACTTTTACAAATGCACTTTTATTCGTTCCGTTCCATTTCATAACAGCCCATTCGCGTTCCCTTTTCCCTGCCTTTAGAATGTAGTCTGAAGCTTAGGATAGTCTTTCGCACGGGCGTGCAAGTCCGCGAAAATAGCCGCCGAGTCGTCTCCCTGTAAGCCTTCCATCCGGTGCGTATCTTCATCCTCCAGTTTCTCCAGCTCTTCCACCGGCTTCTCTTGGCCTTCCTCTTGATCCTTTTGCGGCTCCGTCGCTTTCTTGATTCCACTCGATTCGCCGACGAGGAGGAATTGGGTGTTGGGGAAGTCGAGGTGCTTGGGCTGCGTGGGGAGCCATCGGAGAGCTCGGAATTCGTCCATGACTCTGGAATTGTTTAACTTCAGCACATTTAAAGTCCAATTCAGGGAGGGAGATTGGTACTTACTCCTTGGGATAGTCGGGACCTTGCGGCAGGGCAGTGCCCTTTGGAGCTTCGTATTGCGGGTTCCTGGTGCTGATTATGAAGCTTCCTTTCTCCTTCAACCCAATCTCTTTCTGGACTTCGCCAAGATCCTCCGGCAAGGTAATCATGTACGCGAGGTGAGACTCACGGCCAGTGCTCGTGATGACGTAAATGCCCTCAGCGACAGGGGTAGCGGCGGGCGTGTGTCGGACACCGGCCGTCTTGGTGGTATAATCGGACGCAGCGAGGAATTCATCCTTCAGGGTTTTGAATGAGGCATGCGACTTCTCGACGAAAGCAATCCATCTGTCTCTGCCGCTCAAAGGAAATACCTTCTTCGGAATAGCGATTAGGCGCGTATTTCCAGCATCGTCGATTGTGCCTTCGCCGAGTTTCGCGTCTTTGGCTAGGGGACGCAGGACCATGTAGCTGCGACGGATGTCATCCACGCTGCTCGGCTCGTCGATACCTACTCTACCGCGGATGAAGAAGTATACGATGCCTTTCTCTAAGATATTAGATGGTACGACACCCTCTCTCGCCCCTTCTTTTTCTGCTGAACCATTCTGGTGGTGTGTCTGCTCGTGGGTATCTACCCCATTCTCGCCCTCGTCTTCCTTCTTGCCTTCGTCGGTTGGCGGTAAATGTTTGCCATTGCCATATGCTTCGGTGGGGCTAGAGATATATAAGCTACCGGATATAGGTAAAAGACCGGTGCAATTCAGACCTACCTTGGAATCGTATCCTCAATGGTCTGCTGCTTCTTGTCGTCGTCCTTCTTAGTACGCTTAGATGCCGGCGAGGTCTTTGTATCGAGGTGATGCTTAGCGCCGGCCCCCTCGCCGTTCTCGTTCTTAGAGCTAGGTTCAACTTTAGCACCGGATCTCGTTGTAGTCATTTTGTCGAATTCAAAAAGCCACGATATGAGTTAGAAAATTGAAAATGGTACAAATGAATCTTGCGATGGCTCCCACGAAAATTTGATGGCAATACCGCGATGTTTTTTCGACTATAGGTACGTGGGTTATTGGTAACTCCTAATAGGTTCAAAACGATGAACATGTAGATGAGAAATTGGCCAATTGACAGAGCTTGAGGATGATATAAGTTTGCAAATTGAAGCAAGTGTTACCCTAAGCTTGGGTCAGTCTGATGTCATCGATCTGACCTGAAGCTGTCTTGTTCCAGGAACACAAATGCATGTGGGAGCTTGGGCCATTCAGGACGCTAGCTGATTTCCTATTCAGGTAAGTGGAGAGATGATGATGTAGCCGCTTACACATATGTGCAGAAGAACGCAGCTCTAAATGCTTAATAACTACCTCATATTACAATACATAATTATTCATAACAGCCTCAATATACAGAATATGATACTTTTACTTGATAATTGACACGTTGCCCTGGAAATTGTCTTGCTGAATCCCCAGTGTATCTTAAGCATTATGAAAATAGCTTTCTTTATGATTTCAATGTTGCTGCATGAGAATCGGCAAATAATACCTAGGTGTATGCAGCTTATAGATCGCGGGGTAATCATGTGACCGCTTAACAGATGAGTACAATCAATCATAATCTCCAGCTAAAAGCTCTTCTCTCCTTTGCCAACTCTATCTCTATGGCTATTGGTAACTCTTGGCTGGTCTATCTATAAAATTTACCTAAAAGACTTCATACACCATCTAATTCATTTCCTGGGCACTTATTGGCTATGCCAGATCTGTTTTGCCCTTTATTTGCCGTCAATTATGACTGCGCACTATCGGACATTTGTCGTATTCACCTGATGCTAAGGCGCTAGCTCTACCCAGATACGTGGTAGTGCAATGCATTCAGGGGCTAAGCGCTCGGCAATGTTTATGTTTTATGCAGCTCCAAAAGCCCCTGAAACGCTTGGGCATAGGTGAGGTGGTATTCAACGCCGTAAACGAATAGAGATATCAAAAAGGCTACTAACATTGACCCGAGAGCCGAGTCTTATGTACTACAAACCCCTTTTCTTCTCCTCGCATAGGGATAAGAAAAATAAGCGACAGGCCAACTCTCCGATATGTCTCAGAGAGACGTGGATTGTATGATACATGTAAGTACATACATGTATGTATATTTAGGACATGCCTTGATGAAATAATAATAAATATCTGTCGCATCTCGTTTCCCACGTGGAATCCCTGTTCTCGCCGGCGCTGCCCCCACCAGCTAAATATGTAGCGTCCTGTATGTATTCCACACATATGTGCGTCAACGAGATCCTGCCACCATCCCAGCCCCAGGTAGTTTCTGATGTGGATATGTGCAAGCGATGCGGCGAATGATTCTCAACTAGCAGAGACTAAACCGGTACTGAACAGGAAATCGTCAGATGAGATATCTTCTTTAGGAAAACCATAGCCTCCGATTAAGCCGCATGCGACCTAAAGTCGCACACGATTCGGTAATATGTTCCGGATTTGCGTAGCCTAAGCCTCGAAAAGGGGGCTCCTAGGTGGGGGCCGATAGATCTATATACTTGGGTTCCCTAACAACTGCAGGGCAGACTCACGATGATGTTGTGCTGAGGTGCTTTTCCTTCGTCGTGACCATGTTCTAGGTTCAGCCACTCACTCTCGTGAATCAACTGTATTATTGTCTGGCCAATTCATTCATTTTCCTGTCGAACTAAGTTGACTGCTTCCGCTCTTTATTTTCTAATTTGCGCTCCTTAAAATGAAGCCAGCAACGCTCGCTCTCCTTCTTGGTCCTATGGGCATCGTGGCTCGGCCCTGCGGTGGCCATCGCCCTCAGACAGCCACGTCTACAGTTTCTTCGGTAACACTCGCTCCCACTACTTCATCTGGCAAGTCTTCTGCAACTTCTTCGGTCAATTCCGTTACTTCCGTGACGACCCCTTCCGCGACGGTTTCCGTCACGGTCACAAGCAACCAGCAGACTTCGTCTTCCACCAGCACATCTGCCATCCCCTCGCCCACATTGGTATCTGACAGCATCGACGAACTCTTCAAAGCGAAGGGCAAGCTCTACTACGGCACGGCCGCCGACTCGGGCACTCTATCCAAGTCCCAAAATGCTGCTATTATCAAGAAAGACTTCGGGCAGTTGACACCCGAGAACAGCATGAAGTGGGACGCGATCGAGCCGACCCGGGGTGGCTTCAGTTTCGGCGGCGCCGACGCCCTCATCAACTTCGCCGTGCAGAACGGCAAGAGCGTCCGTGGCCACACGTTGCTCTGGTACCAGCAACTGCCGAGCTACATCGAGGCCATCACGGATCCGAAGGAACTTACTAGTGTCCTGGAGAACCACATTAGCACCATTGTCGGGAGGTACAAGGGTAAGGTTCGCGCTTGGGTACGTATTCAGTGGCTAGGCCCATATCGTAGATATACGGTACGATGCTAATAATTCATCTAGGATGTCGTCAACGAGATCTTCAACGAGGATGGTACTCTCCGCGACTGCGTCTTTACGCAGGTGTTAGGCGAGGACTTCGTCCGCATCGCTTTCGAAGCTGCGCGTAAAGCGGATCCAGCCGCTGTACTTTATATAAATGACTACCATCTTGAAAGCGGCACGTCTGCTAAGACCGTCACTGGTATGTTTGAGCATGTTAAGAAGTGGATCGCGGCCGGAATCCCGATCGACGGCATCGGTATCCAGGGCCACCTCGGGGGCGGCAACCCGAGCGCCAGCGGCATGCAG